GGGGGGGGGCAGATTCACTGGGACAACCCTGTGGGTGTAAAGCACGAGCCGCCTCCAGCCGTTTCCAGCATGCTCAAGTTGCCATTCGGCCGCCTCTAGCGATTTCTATCCGGTTCAATCACTTGTATTTGGACGCTGAAAAGTTTCCCCGCACTGTGTCTGTCAGTCGTCACTATCGGCAACTGCAGTCTGCACCTCCCTTAACCCCGACCCGACACGGGTTAAGGTAGGACCCCTGTAAAAAAATGCTAAAAAAGGGGGGAAATTGATTCTTGTTATCTGTGATAAAAGTGCACTCGAATTCTTTCTCTCTCTCTCAGAAGATTATTTGCTTGTGGCTGATATTAGGTATATTCAAAGTTAAAGAGATTTGGGAAAAACCGTCCAAGCCCTCCATGTTTCTTTTTTTTAGATAGAATCAAAAGCCATTGAACTCAGAGCGCTTGATTTTGAAGTGCCCCGCAGAAGTGTTACTTATTTCATGTTTAAACTTAAAATCTCAGTTTGGAAATAAGTCAAAATTATTCCATGCTTTTGATTCACAGACCACTTGTAACTACCTACAGAAACAATCCCTGGACTAAACGATTCCCTGGGTGTATGTAGACTTAGTCTTAGTAAAGCGCACACGTCCATAGGTTATTACAATTTGGCTGTAAGTTCTTCATTGGTGCGTGTGCGGTTGGTTGCCTGTTGCCTATCGTCTCTGACCATCTCCGACCCTTTACTGCCCGTGTGATGTAAGATCGTCAAGAAAAGCACAACCGTTTTCCCCGCTCATTCGGCAAATTACGAGAGCTCGGCGCCTGCGATATTCAGGGTAGGCCGCCCCGCAGCACACGCATGCACAACAGACACGATCTTGCCTACCTTCCAGGCGCTATGGACCTGGACCTTGCAGAGGATATGACCTTTTTAGGCTCGTAACACCGAATGACGGACGGACTTTCGGGATGATCCCTTAAGGAAACCCGTCGACCATCGAAGTCAGATGGGTGGCACCGGTGGTGGAAAGTCTGACTCCGTGCTCGCCCCATGCCGTAGGGGGACCGGACTCGGGCACGGGCAGTCGCGAGTGTACGCCGCGCGGGGTTCAGACCAGCAGGCGGCTATTATCATACGGCCTTGATTCGCGTTGAATCACAAACTTTACTCGGGCCGAGCAGCGCTTTAAATCCACCGTGGCCGTGAGTCAGGTGGTGATCGGTGAGCTTGGTGCGTGGGGCAGCGGTGTCACGAGCACGTCCTGGTTACACAGCGCGAGTCATGACCTACCGACCGACCAGTCAGAGACAGTGATTCGGACTCTCAGTACGTAACTTAAAGTACATACTCGTCTGGTCTAGCACAACACATGGTCATTTTTCGTCTCCCTTATCTCGGTTACAAAAATACATTACACCTCTTGGTCAAAAGCTCATCAAAACAACAAAGATCATCCGCTTTGCATTTATTGTTGTGACATGCACAGGGGCGGGGGTTGAGGGTCGCGAGAACAACCCTCTTCCGGAAAAAAATAAGACGAAAAAGTCCGACTTCTCGCGTGGGAACTCGCTGGAGGCGGGCGGCGGCGCAGGGGTGACTCAGTGTGCGCAGTGCAGTCGCAGTACAGCTCGGGGGCCTACGCCGCTGGGGGGCAGTCACCAACATCACGCGAAGAAAGTTTCGGAGAAATTCATCGGCAAGGTTCTCGGTAGCGTTTTGGATCGGACAGCTGGTCCGCGCCGCCCCAGCACATTATGTCCAATGTCCATCCATGCCGCACCATTTGACGCGACCCAAAGACTTACTCACCGCGGCCGCGCGTCACCAGGGATTATAGTGGAGACGCGCGGCTGAGTATGGTTCAAGTGGTTGAAGTGGTTGCGGGATGGCCTGACCAAACTCAACCACAGCGCCGCCGCCGCGTCACGCCGGCCAGCTGTGCCTGGCCTGGTGTGCGACACGGCTCGCGAACGTCAGACCGCAACTACTTGCAAACCGGGTGCTGCGTGACCAACAATCAATCAAGTAATTTACCGGCTTTTTCCAACAAAACCACGACAACAGCAGCGATAATCAGAATTTGCATGTTGATGCGTGCCTTCGAGTAGGAGTCTTATGATAAATGACGATTATCACCTCGACGGGCCCCCTCTTCTTTTCACCCGAAAAATGATATAACAGTATAAACCAATTTTTATTGCTTTTAGAAAAAATGGCGCGCACTTATGAATGGATGGGCAGAGATACGGCGTGTCCAAAAAATGGCCTTGCGACACACGCACTCCCGATAAGGCCGGAACTGCGTCTGTGCCCTGAAATATACACAGCGGGGTTAACGACTTCATCCAAGATCGATAAGACATTAATTATTGTCATATTTGTTTTTGCATAAGCGGTTTGTACAGAGGATGTGATATGCAGCAGAATACGACGAGTACTCCGAATATGATTGGAACAGGTGCTTGCGTCCAAGTTGAACGAATAAACTTTATTGAGGGTGACCAAGTCGCGGCGAGACTAAAAATAGAAACCACCCCGTATAACCGTCCTAGATGTGGCCATATACGTAGTAAATAAACAAGGAATGACAATAATTGTCCCCGACAAAGTAGCGGCGAGCCCGGTCGGCCCAGCAGCGCCGGTCAGACCGACACGCCACAAGCGGTCAGTCCGTCCGTAAGTCCGTCTGTCCGCACCGAACCTGTCGCCATATGTGTGCAAACGTGACTGGTTTGCGATCAACATGACTTAGTGTCTCATCTCGTGCGGCATTTCCACATGGCGTGATGGGAAGGGTAGTGAGGGTTTCTCATCAGTGATTGGTTGGTAAAACGTATTGTTTTTGTTCTCCTTCTAATTTCTTCAATTAAAACAAAAAGTTTGAAAAACTTTACTTTTAATGTTTTAACAGAACACATAATCTTTATATGTGAGTGTGTTGGGGGGGGGAATTAGATTTTTTTATATTTTTTTTTGTGTTTTTTTTGTGTGTGTCTGTCCAGAAGTGGCACCAAGCGCTACGCCACGGCCGAGATGATATCAATTTATGGGTGAGATAGATGTTCCCGCCATCTTTTCCAGTAAAGGCGAGAGAAAAAAAGGGAAAACAAATGAAGTCTGTTGTGGCATGGTGTGTTTTAAGGAAACGCCTCTCGCGAAAAGATAGGAGAAATCGCCGAGATAACGACAACTTTTTCTGCTCCAAGATCGTGTGTGTGTGTTGGGGGAAGACACCCATTACCCTATCAATGCCAGTGGATCGCCTGAGGGGGGTATACAATAGACCAGTGTATTTGTTCCTGGTAGCAGTTCCCACAAGAAAAAATAAAACATCAGAATGTGTTTTCTTACTATTTTTGAGAAAAAAACTATTTAAAAAACTGCTAACATGGCAGCGAGCCCCGCGCACGAGGGGATCTATTTTTTGCAGACATCACCCCTATGATAACCCACCCCACGCAATACCGTGTGTTACGAGCGGGCCGCTTGATATGGCACTCTATTCGTGTCGTGAAATATTTCTGCGAATCATGCGCACGCACGTCGCACTCCACAAATTGGTTCTTTCGACGTATGATAAACACGTCAAATGCGACCGTGTTTTTTTCCTTGTCAGAGACAAGTGTATTTTTGAAAAAGGTGTTCGCTATCCAACAACCCAAACTGCTTCCCGGAAAGTGCACGCAACAAAAGCGATCTCATTCCAAGAACATCCCCCCCCCCTTTTTAAAGAAATGTTCTTCCTTTTTAACCCATAGTGCAAATAAGTGTGAAACAACAACATTTGTATTCAAATTTGGGGGATGAACTTGAATAGAAAGCACAGTTTTAGGGGGGTGCTGAAAGATTTGCCCTAGTGCGGAGCTCGTAAGAACGGTAGTCATACCCGCGGTGAGCGCTAGCATGCCAGGGCCGGCCAGGGCCACTGCACCCAGCTCGCACCACAGTTGGTTATCGGCGACACACGGGAAAAATTGCGCTTGCGCAGGTTCCGCTGCCGATACTGCAGAACTGCTGGGCATTGACGACACGAGCGGGATTTTTTCCCTCTGTCTCTGTCTTTCTCTCTCTCTCTCTTTCCCCGAGGTCGCGTGGGTAGAAGGCTACATTTGATTCTGCGGTAAAAACCACTCAGGCCAGTGGCCAGTGCAGGTCAGTGGTCAGAGGTCACGCAGCCGCGCCCGCCATTGGTCGGCGCTGGCACCGCGCCCAGACCGCCCGCCACCCTATTGGCCATTGGTCCATGACGGCGGACAACCCGGGACGACGAGTATGACGCCGAGACTGAGGCGCACTAGGCCACCGCCGCCCGCCCACGCCCACGAACGATAAGTGGAGTTGAAACTTTCCGCATATAGGCGGCAGCACGCAACGAGGCAGGCGAGGGTGAAGCCAGCCGCCTTCTCCTTCGCCGTCGCGATAAAGAGCTTGCAGCACAACAAGAAGGGGGTTGGTGGTTGGTGCCGAGGTGAGGGTGGTGCGGGCGGGGCAGCCTTAACCCAGTCAACGGGCGACGACCCTGGGGGACCTTGGGGCCGGGGACTGGACCGGGCCAGAGCACCCCGCCGCGTCGTGACGTGGACAGCGGCCAGCCTCCTGACTCCGGGGAACGCCCAGACAGCACCGCCCAGCGCAGCGCCACCCGACCTGACCGGGGGAAGGGGGCATCGCGTCAACGACCAGACCAGCGCAACGGGGTGGCGTTCCAAGGCTGAGGCGGGCGAGGCGCGTGGCACGAGTAGTAAGGCAGGTCAAATTTGGACGAATTAAGGTTCAGTTGGTGTGCCCAAAAATTCTGACAAACCCTTCAAGAAGAGCACAGCAAAGCAAACCGAGGTCTTTCCCTTTCCTTTCGCCTTTCTCTTTCTCTCTTTCTCTTTTTTCCTCTTTCCTTTTTCCTTCTTACTTTTCCTCATTTTTACCCTATTTATTTCTTCGGAATGATTCTGCCGCAGATCTCCCGGGCGCCGCACAGCAGCGTCACGGGGGCGACAAGCGTGCGTAATCGCCGCGTGTACTTCCCCGGCGCGTGTGAGAGGCGGCCCGACGGCGGGCGCCCCGCGCCGCGCATCGTAACTGGACAAAACCAGACGAACTGCTGGGACCGATACACTCGTGCTGCTTCAATCACGCTGTGCTGTTGCAGGCTAGACTCCTGTTCTGATAGACTGAAACCGCCCAAACCACACGTGTTCTGCTAACTCGTCCCCCCACCACCACCACCACACACACACCCGCGCCCACTAAAGTCCTTGGGAGAGAGCGAGGAGCGTCTTAGGCGTAATGGCACCTTATGGATGGACGCAGCTCACGGACGGGACGGTCTGGGACGACCACCACCATACCGGACAACGTCCAAGGACCGTAGGACCGTGCACATCACCTCAGATGGGCCGACTCCCGCCGACGAACGACACCGCAGTCACCGGGCCTTACCCTTGCAGCGCTCACCTCGAGCACACCGTCGGGGACGTACTCTACCTTTTTCCGGTTGGCCCAGACGTCCGCGGTGCCGAGCAGACAGTCGTCGCACCGGCACACGTCCGAGGATGCCGACGAGAAGGAGCTGGCCGAGTCCGTCGAGTCGGTGCGCAGCAGCAGCGCGGGCAGGGGCGGGGCGGCCACAGGGGCGGCGGGGCCGGGGGCGGCGCCGGGGTCGGGGCCGCCCCCCAGCTGGGCGGCGCGCTCCATCTTGGCGACTAGCAGTGACTCCATGAGCGAGCGCGGCCGGCACGTCGGGCTGCACACCCAACGTTTGTTGTTGTTGTATTTTTACAATGCCGGTATTGACGAGCCCTACTAAGTACCCCTCCCCCACCCTCCCCAACTTGAAAAATAAAATCACGCCCCCCTCGTACCTCGGGGGCGACTGCGGTGGCGGGCCGGTCACCCCTAACGCCACCACCAGCCCCGCACCCGCGCCGCCCGAGGACAGCGGAGTGTCCGGGGGCGGCGACGGCGGCGAGGCGGAGGGCGCCGGGGGAGGCGGGGGCGGCCATGCCGCGGTGCGCGCAGCGGGACTTCAACGGGGGTGCGGGGGCCGCGTGCTCTCATTGGGCGGAGTGACGGCCATCTTCTTCTTCTTCCGGGCGCACAGCGGCCAGGACAACGACGGTGGCGGCGGCACCCGCACTGCCCCGCAGTGTTCGCCGTCCCGGATCATCCTCGGCGCCGTCCTGGTCATCCCCGTCACCTCGCCGCCCGGAAGCGGAGCCTGAGGCCGCTGCTTGGCTTCACGCTGTGCAGCAGGCCGTGCAGTGTGCGTTGCTATTGCGCCTGTTGCGTCACTCGGTGGGGGGTGGAGGGGGTACGGGACGGCTATAGATCACTCGGCGCCGCGGATCAGAGACACACATCTAGACTCACACGGACAAGTCGCGGCGGCGTGTCGGTAATCTCATTTCATTTTGTAATCGTACACGCCGTTTTGCAGCAGCAGCACCAGCACCGACGACCGCTGTGCACTACCGGTCTTTCTGTGCGGCGCAGTCACGATTGCTCCGTTAGTAACGTCGGAAACAATTATAAGAAAATCAAAGTGAGCAATAAATGGGGTGCTGGTGTTTCTATAAGCAGAAGCTTGCGACCGTGTTCGCGTCCGCGTAAGCCACGACTGCGAGACTCTGGCGGGCCGGGGCGGCCGCGGCGCGCCCGGACGGTAGGCAGCCCATCGAACGCGTGGGCCTGGCGGGCCGGCGGGCCGGACCGCTCGGGCGGGTACCTGCAACACACAAGCAAAAAAGGGCGACGTCAGAGTGTTGCAAAGATGGCGCTATCAAGGATTTATGGGTCTATTGGAGACCAAAACAAAAACGGAGGGTAAAAAAAATGCTGTTTGGCGCTTTTTGCCCAAGGTGGGGAGGGGGTCGGGCACGTATTTTCAAATGGACACTCGTGCACACCAGGGCTGTGAGCACAATAAGGCAAGGCACGCAACAGTGCTTAACTTCCACTCGCCTGCAGGCTCTCATGAGTGCATTGCATAAACGAATAATAATGGCAGACAGTCATGAGGCTGTCATGACCGCCTCCTTGTTGGTGACGCTATATCAATAAATAAAGAACATTACTTCTGGTGACATGCACCCCTTCCGACCCGACGGACCATGTGCTGTGCTGTACCCCCCTTACTCCACGTACGTCATGGTTCAGAGATACTCCCCCGGCGAGAGACTCCCGGCCTACCATGCAGTACCGTGACTTCGGTGCGGAATGTCTCTTGGGGAGGGGAGTATATCCGCAAGCAGTTGAGGACACAGAAGAAACGATCAGGTGCAAAGTTCACTCCGGTTCGAAGTACGAAGAGGGACTGTCCCAGCAAACAGCTCATAGGAAACCCGGTCAGTATGATGGTAAAATGCTGGTCGTGCGCTGTTCACCGATGCGGCGTTCTCACGCGGTTTCGATCGCACAAAAATATGAAATTTAATCACTAGAGAGGGAGAAAAAAAATCCGACTGCAACATTCCAAGAGACTGCACTGGGTCGGGGAGCGCTCATTGCGCGGAATGGTAACAACAGCCTGACGTCAATACGTGCGCTGTGCCCCTGAAGAAAAAATGGAAACGGAGGAAAGAAACGGGCGACAAAGGCGCGTTAATAACGTGTCCTGCTCGGCCCTGCTGAGCAGGGCGCGCCGCGCTCCACCCAGAAAAACCTCGAAAGACAGGAAAAATCTACCACAGATGAGCCACCCAATTTTTATTTAGTTTTCGGACCATGTTTTTTCCTTGAGATCCACCTTCCAGAGAATAGCGGCGGACGCGGACGTGCCCGTGCGCGGATTAGTTTATTTCGTGTGGATCACGAATCCATCGCGCCTGCTGTCGAGCCAACAAACCTGCCGACGGTTATTTTCCAGAAAATTCTTTATTCTGCTGCGGCTGGTGCCCCGGCTGGTACCGCCACGCGGTCGCCCTGCTGACGCCCGCCCGCCGCCGCTCGCGAGGCACTCCATCACCACAGCCGGGCTGGACCACTGCTGGACCACGAAGGCTGGAGGCGGCTGGAGGCAGCCCAACCCTCATCTCATCTCAGCCAATCTCTTTCCTTATTTGGGGGAAAAACGCAACGCCAGCTCGCGGCGCGGCGCACTCCGCGCGTCCAGCAGCACCGGCCGACACGATTTGTCTCCGCAGCAGAAACGCCGAGGAAATATAGAATAAAAAGACGAGGTGTGCGCGATCCAGTAAGATACCATCAGGCGCGGGGGAATGGGGGTGGGGGGGAGGTTACTTTAAAGCGAGCAAAGAAATGGCCTGAACATAAGTCCATCAAAGTACAACAATGACATCAATAACATGAGGGTAACAAACCGATACAAACCATCGAAAAATTGTATTCGTGTAGTATTCGCTGATATAATTATTTCATATTTCTTCTGTCGACAACAAGTTCAAGCTCGCTCACAAATTCGCAGAATAGTGACCTATAGGCACCCGGATCCACGGTAAACTTTCTGAATATTTACCCGTTATTTGTACACAACTTGTTGTTGCTTTTTGATTCTGGCAAACCTACGTTAAAAACTAGCACCATTTTTTAAGAGTGAAAAGCAAGTTCAGCAAGTTTTTCCGTGGTTTCGTTATAATTGTGCACACCGAAAGACCCTTGCACCGTTCCAGTTAGAGGAGATATTAAGCATCCTCTTAGGGCGAGCAACGCGGCACCAAGTGCAAACTTGGGCTCCATCCATGGCTCTCATTCTCATGGATCTATAGTCATAGATCGTTGAGGCAAGTAATGTTGTAACGGTTATATCAAACCCTTGCGTTTGATAGGGGCGCCCCCAATTCAAAATTTTACGAAGAGCTTAAAGACAGCGGGGAAGCGTTAGATAGTACTTGGGCGCAATAACAGCAAAGCAGTAACAACCATCGGTTGAAAATATACACTTGTGTAGGTCTATGTCTCCTACAACCTACAACTCCGAAAAAAAGTCTTGAACTGGGTGATATCTGTCGCCTTAGTTGGGGCGTTTCTATGAAAAATGAATGCCTCCGGAGGCGCATGGCCGCTGCCTTCCATCAGGCAAGCCACCAAACCCTTCATAGTGAGTTATGGCCAGGCTAACCGCCATCGCTACCCCGGCGTTACTGGCGGTTGTGGTCTCGGAGGCCGCGACGACGGTAAATAGAGAAATGCGGCACGAGAACTGGTCGCGACAGCAGGTCCCCTCCGCCGGGACCAGCGGGTACCTCTAAGCGGCCATACACAGGAGTTGTCTAATGCCCGGGACACAATGCCTTCTACAGACTTCACCCACAACGAGGCCAAGTCAGCCGCCTCCCACCTGAATCCGAATGAGTTGGAGAGGCAGCGATAGAGGGTTTCAACCCGCAGCGGCGGCCGCGATAGGGGTGGCAAGGAATCATAGTCACTAGTATAAAATAGTAACGTTTAAATAAGAGCAGAGAGAAGCCCAGGTATTCGCCGAGACATTATTGCACAGCTAGTCTTGCCCCGCCCCGTCATCCTTGCAGATCGGAGATTGCGTTTCGACAAGCCAGGATCAGGCCCTGAGCCCTGGGATTGAAGACACGGTGGGAGGGCACGCGGCGGGGGGAGGGGGGATGACAGGGCGACGCGATAAAAATCGATAAAATGCGAGGCGTATGGTTTTCTGCACAATGAGGATCATCCCGGCGGGTGGCGCGATGCTTTGCAATTACACCGCCTGGTCTGGACCGCCGGCCGGACACACTGCGAGGAAAATGCACTTCGCACCTGATCACACTACACTTAAAATACGATCTGCAGCAGATTCTTAGAAAAAATAACACGTCTTCCAACGACGCATCAGACATAAGGCTGGAGTGGCTCGTGGCCATACAAGGAAACGCAGCCGAAAATGTGCCCCCCTGTAAAAAGGGTGAACTAACAAACCCACGAGAGCAACAGAAAATCAATCACCCCTCTCCATATCTTTAACTCAGCCTAATCCATCCCTCGGCGATGCCTCTCTCCCTCTCCCTCTCTCTCCCACACACACACACTCTCACTTGCCCGTCGGACGCATTACAAGCGCGCGGAGAAAAACGAACCGATAATAATTTCTCATTATTGGCACCGCGAGTAATTGCCGCTAACGAGCTGCGAAGGCGCGCGGCCGCACACACGGCGACGTGCGAAGAGCGGACCGGAGATAACGTCGCGGGTGACGGCCATGACGTCACACACACCTTATAAAGCCCGCACGAAGACTCGCGGCATGAATATCGTCACAAGTAATAAGTCAAGCAAATTTACACGCCTGCCGCGCGCAGTTCGGTTTTTCGTTTAATTTGTTTGTTTAGGAGGGGGAAGGGGGGTACGACGGGTCCGTTTTCTGGCTGCGAGCGCCGAGCAAAGCTGCAGCGCAATACTGGCTTCGTTAAACCTCATTGTATGTGTGTGTGACTGTGTGTGTGTGTATGTGAACGCGCGCACTATACCGCTATTTTTATCTTGTTTGCACAGTGCAGAAAGTCTATTTGCAAAACACGAGCCGTAACAATCGATTCGCAAGTTTCCCTGTCCTCTTTGCGCACATCACATTCCATTTGCATTATCGTGTGTACATGCATTTTCTGGTGTGTGAGTCTCAAGTTCACGCCATACAGAATGTAACGTATAACCGAGCAAGCGCACGTTGCTGTCCAGAACCTGACATGCACCAGCGTGCACATACATGTGCTCAACACTATATTTCAATACGAAAGAATGTTTATAAGAAGTCGAACGCTTAGAAGTATGTCCAACTTCAGTGTTGGCCACGAAGCTTTAGACACTTTGAAGTGTTCAATTTACTGTTGAACACTTATCCTATTCAAATTTTCAGTCCAACACCTAAGATTGTACACCATAGAGTTAAACATTAATATGTCCAAACCAAAGTTGCTCACATATGTTTTCAGTGCAGACACGGTTCAGAGAAACTGAACTGTTTACTCTGATGTCTATTATTGACAGGTCCTTAAGTGTAGCAACACCTCCCCTCTTCGCTACGTCTCCTCGGACGAGACAGATCGGCGACATGCTCTTGGAACGGAATAAGGTTTGATGTCATCGTGCTGCGATGCCCATCCCATCGCGTCGTATCGCTCGTCAAGCAGCGGCGTGGCGACGCGCAGCGTGGCGCAGCCGATGCATGCATGCTCATTGTGCAGCCGGCGGTGACGTCAGCGGCTGTCACGCCGTCGCATCCTCCAGAGCCCCGCGGTCCCGCGCGAGGCGAGGGAGCGCCACATATACTAAACGCTAGACACTGTCATTCGTTTGATTAAGACTGCCGCAGTGAGTTGGAAGTGAAGCCAGTCGCGCGATAGCGTAGGAATCCAGTGGCAGAGAGTCACCACACTCTCTGACATTTGCAGGAGACGGCAGCAGGCTGACCTCCACCGCCGAGCCGTCCGGGAGGATTTCAGATGTCCACGTCGACTCGGGCGGTAGGCGACAAACGGCAGCATCAAGCCGGCAAGCACCTCCTTTTCCCCTCGCCGTCGTTAACGACTAGCTAAGTAGCTAACTAGCGAACAAATCGGGGCTAGGCTCAATTAGGTGTCTCAAGAAGCACGCATACATGTCATTGCTGGTTTACTATGTAAACAACAGTACTCGTCAGGTTGAGACCTCGAGGGTAATTAAGGCAATTGTAAACTTCCAATGGACGCGAGCAATCAGCCAGACAACATTTCCAAGCCATATGCATAACATTGAGCACCCGGGAAAAGTGCGTTATTATTCAAATAGCTATGCAGCAACGACCAACTTGTTAACAGTATTATTAGTATCTAGTAAATGTAAAGATGATTGTGTTTACGAAAGTAGTTCAAAACAATAGAATAGGTAGCTGGTAGCTGGTTGGGCTAGGACATCAACGCCAGACTCAGGCGGCCGGCGCCACAGCGAAGGCACGTGTATGTTCTACATCTGCCAGGCCTCATCAAATTTTCGGGCGAGTAATTAAATCATCGCGAGGATCACCTAATCGAATCTTCGACCAGAGTGTACCAGGCCAGGCGGGGAAGCCGGGCGGGCCCACCACCTCAACATAATATTAACATCGAGGGCACCGTCTTCCTGGACTTATAACGCCAGCAAACTCTCTGGGCTCGGCCCTGACGAGTCCAAGACGAGTCCAGGACGAGTCCACCGACCTGCAGGTCAATCACTTTTGGTTCGGATTCAGGTCCAGGTTCCGCTGCAACGACGCTCGCTGGCAGGTCGGCTGGGCTGCTGGCGGGGCTGGGGCCCGGGGCCGGCTCCTCGCCAGGCCAGCCGCGATCTACTTTACATTGATTTGTGGACTCGGCCCACACCGGCGCAGCACCGACACGAATGCATCGTCAGCCGACACTCAGGACTTTCATTCGGCGACACAGATTAGTAGTAATTCACCTGTAGCTTATCAGCTGTGGGAATCTCACCCAAATGGTAAATTCGGGAATGCAGTGTGCAGATTTAAAATTGTCTAATCCACTTACTTTGTGTAGTGTTTTGCTTCGCTGGACTGCAGTTACTGCTATATTTTTGACATATATCATAAGCAGCAGACATCTAGCAAAAGTATCATGTTGATTTTCCACAGAACTTCGAACTCTAAAAAGGAATTCTGAAAACGACAGGTGCAGAATGCATGTGCTGGTGACAAATCGAGGCCCGATGTTGTCTTAATTACCGTGCAGTAGAGACTGCTCTATTGGATCCAAAGCCTTTAGGGACAGAACGGGTTCCCGGTGGCTGCACTGCTCGGCTGATTGGTTGGCAGCAAACTCACGACTCCTGATTGCAAACGGCACATCACTGCGTGTGTTCTTCTTTGCCTTGTTCTTTGACAACTTGCTATTGCTACTTGCTTCGGGCAGGTCTCCCTAAAATTTTCCAATTTTCGCAATGAGTGGTATACAATATTGGACACCACATTGATATGTCATAGAAAGAGCGCTCATGAGCAGTGTTCTGTCTGATTCTCAAGAGGGTACACGTGAACAAACGGGGGGAGTCTTGTCCATCAGCATATTCACATCTTCCGTCTTGTTAAAGCGAGACACGCGCAAGATTTACGGCCTTGCAATCCTTTTCCATAAAACATCAATATGCGCGAGGTCAGGGGGTTACTAACGCCCTGTATTACTTACTTCAGGATTAAAATTCATATCAGCTGCAAAAAAAAATTCGGAAAACTGAAAAGAAGCCAGACAATTACAGGCCGACATATAAATCAAGGCACACCGTGCAGCGAGCGCTGTGGGCGGACAAGATGATATCACGACGGCTGTCGTTTGCCAATCCCAATGGCAATGTGGACGCCTGCCGGGCAGACTGCGGATTGTACAAGGATGTTTTTGGACTAATGTAACGACGCTTTGCACCTTACACCCAACATTCCCAGAGAGGTGAAGATGCATCCAAAGATGCAGAGTGAATGTGCTGCCCCACAGTGCCACCATGTTCATGCCCTTAAAAAGTTCCAAGGTGTAAGCAATGTGTACTGCGCTCTCGTGTATTTAAGAAGGGAGCTCATCGGGTGATCAAACATATCAAATTGGGAGACTTTCCCCCCTTTGAGAGATTAATTATTCCACTTATTTGCGGATCAAAAGTTTCTCTAAAACATTGCAGGCCGAAACTGCAGCATAGCAACGTCTAGTAGCGGATGACGCATCCCTCTCATCGGTTTGCAGGTCGGCCTTGTGACACGTGTCCGACCGTTTTTGTATTTCCAGACGCGTGAGCGAGCGGGTGCGGGCGCGGGCGCGCACACACACGAACAGAAACAGACGTGACACACATCCATACATCGGGCACGCGTAACTCACAGGCCTGGCCCCGTCTGCCTGGGCACGGCCAAGCGAAGCATGGGTGGACAGACGGGCAGACAGAAAGACAGGCAAATGGACGGACAGGCAGATTGCTGTGCAGCAAACGCGTAATAGCGAATCTAGTTTAGGTCAAGAGCAAAGCGGAGGAGTACAGGATCTAAAGCCAGGCATGCATCAAGGTTTGAATTCTCTTTAAACAGGTGAAAATAATGAGCGGAAGTTACGCACACGAAAAATTATTGACCATCCCGGAAACAAAACAGTTCAAACATATTTGCGGTCTTGTACAGGAAGCTTGCCAGAGTTTTTTTTTTTTTAATTGTTTTTGTTTTGCTAGCGGTGCCGCGCCGGTGGTCAAGCTGGGTGGCTTGCGGGCCCCTGAGCCTGAGCAGGGCAGGGCAGCCGAGGCCCCCGCACTGCGCAGCCATCCGCTGCCTGCATGGTCCGCTCAGGTCAGACACCACCGACCGCCACCAACCAAGTTTTCGTCCGAGGCCCCCTCTTTTATGCTCCCACCAAGACAATACAAATGCACTTCAAATGCGTCATATGCATGGCAAGCCATCTAGAATTTCGGAATAATTTAAGTCATTGTATTCAAAATAATTGTATTAATGAGTAATAATTCGAAGTTGAAATTATCTTGACGTGATATGGCTTGAACATACAGAAAAGCAAAACTGCTCTAAATTGGGTTAATGATTTTGAGTACATTACAACGAAAAAAAGGGTGAAACTGGCACGCACATGGTAGCTTTCAACAAGTGTTCATGTTCAACAGTAAATTTGAACACCTAAAAGCGTCCAAAGCTTAAAGACCAACTTTACCGTCAATCACTTTTTAGAATTCAAATGTACAATCACACACTTTTAAGTGCGCACCAGTGCTGAGCACTGCATGTACACGCTAGTTGCGCACTTTATTTATCAGTGCACCCGAGGAGGATGTGTATCGAATTTCCCGCAATGAAGACTTTTATAACTGAAAAGACTGTACCGTGTGGCAGGGCTACGACACCGCAGTTTTGTGGGTTCGCTTACCACGGGTCCAAAGCCACAGGAGGCCATGGCGCTTTATTATGGATCACCCAGAAAATACGTCGGTAATTCACGATCACAAAATCGAATAGTTTTAGCCTATACAAGACCTCATAACGCCTAGTGGGTAGGCAACATTTTGCCTCCACTGCATGTGTGTACTGCAGGTTGGCCTACCCTGAGTCTCGCAGGCGCCAAGCTCCTTGTAAGAGAATTGTAAAAACGGACGAAGCGGGGCAAAGCCGCGCGCTGTGGTGTCGTAGCTCTGACACACGATAGAGGACGGGAAACTGATGTAGGCGGAATCGAAAAAAAACACGTAGAGTACAACGGCAAATCGCGCGATAGCCGCGCCAGAAGTCAGCAGAAGTATAGTTTTTTTTTTATAGGCTGCAGCCAACTAGAGCAGAAAACACGCTCACCCACAGTGCCCAGCAAATACCAGCCACCGCCAACCGCTCTCAAGCAAATACCCATGTCAGCTAGCTGCGCGGGCGTGTGCACGAGTGTGTGTTCGGCGTCCCTACGCAGGAAAGCGCTTTCTCTTTCACCACACAACTCTAAAATCCGCAAAACCTTTCCATATTCACACATATGCGTCCCCCCCACCCCACCCTCCTCCTCCTTCTCTTCCGCTTTGCCATTTGACAAGCAGTCTGGCGAAACGTCAACACTTCCGGCCATATTGCCGATATACCTGTATGATGTGCTCGTGCGTGGAGCGCGCAGAGTCCTCTCCAGCAGTGCTTTATTACGAGACGGTTCAGCACGCGGAGACAAAGCTGACGCGTGCAAAGATTTCGCCCCACGATAAGCGGCCAGCCGTCCGGGCAGAGTCAAGGCAGAGCAGGCCCGTCTTGTGATTAGTGGCCGCCTTCTGGCAGAGCCGGCAGAGCGCGCATTCTCTCCAGAGCACAGCGTTAAAAACACGACCAGTATGAGAAGTGGCTCTACGGCAGCGCTTGGGCACGCTTCTGCTCGAGCAGGGAAGTCCGAGAAGGACGCTAAGATACAGAGAGGAACAGACAAAGCAAGAGAGCAGACATGGGTGTGCGCGAGCTGCTCATTTTCCCGCCGGATACACGCGAGCACAAACACACAAACACACACGTCGCACGCGCGCACCTCCAAAACGTAAAATAAGCAGGACAATGTAATAAATTGAAATAAATGCCGAGTAAAAAGAGGCGGTCACGCAAGGAGGAGGGGCGCGCGCGCGCGCGCGCGGCCCCGCTTCCTTTATCTCGGGACGGCCGCACCTGTGTGCACCCAGCTACACTGCCAAGGACGATCCCGCGCCACCAAAAACAACAAACGTTACTCGTAACGCGTGTTCGGCGGCCAGCGGCGGCGGGCCACATACGGCGACGACCCCCGGCGGCTCGGTCGGGCGGCCCGGCCGGGCTGGCAGCAAGGGGCACTCGCCCAGGGACTCGCACATACCGCCTGCAATTACCGGACATTGTCCGCCGCCCGGGCCGACGGTTCCATCTCATCTCCACGGTACTCTGATTGGTTATTGGAACGAGTCATCGGCACCGCTTGGCACCGCCGCAAGCCCCGCCGCACAGCGACGCCCTGCCCGACATGAATGTCCCGTGCCTCCATAATTTTCGCATCCTCCGGCCGAAGGACGCGCGACGGCGGGCTCAGCGGCTGTAAAACGGGCGGGCGCTCGCTAACCGGCACACCGGTCCACCCCGCCGTGCCCCGCCACGCCCCGCCACGCCCCCCGGGACACAAGGACAGGGCGACTTTTATGGGACCACCCTCCCCTTCTAATTTTCGCGCCCGCCCGCCCCGGCCCGCCCGTTTGCCGTCGTTGATTTAGTCATTATATTCCTGTTTGGCTGAGCGAGAGTGCAAGTGACGCGCCCGGGGCCCGGGGCCCGGGGCCGCCGGGGAGGCACCGACCCGACCGGCAGGGACCTCGGCCCGCCCCGCCCCGCCCCGGGCCTCACGCAGACGACCAGGAAGACGACGTTTGTCGGCATCGGAAACAACTGAACCGGTGGACGCGGCGGGGTGTGGCTGGCCAGGGCGCCGCACTGAGCCGTTCTGTCCAGGTGAGCTGCGCTTCCGTAGTCACGACGCTGTGCCGCATGCACGGGTTGCCTACCTGTGGCCGTGGCCAAGGTGCAATGCCAGAGACGGCAAACCCGCTCGTCCGCATAATAACTACGGAAGTAAACGCGTTCCTTCAAACGCCCAGTACAACTAACCCAAAGCGCAAACAGCGAGGGTCGCTAGAGTGGAACTAAAGTAGTGTTAGTGGTAATATGCTGAACTTACCCGACAACGATACTGGCCAGGGTGTCACATGGGGTACGGTAATCCGATAGGGGGTCGTAACGGGTCCGGTCCCGCAAGGGCAGAGGGGGGGAGGGGCTGGGCTGTCACTGTCACACACACGCGCGGCACACAATGACACTCCGTCACATTGTCACTCGGCGCACACAAAGGGCGCGACACGCGACACACAGACACACGCACACACGGACAGACACGCGGCACACAGACACGCACACACGCGGCGCCGCGAGCGTGCGGAGCACCCAGGCTCCACGGGACGGACGGAGAGGTGCCTAGCCGCCTCGCGCTGCTGCGGCCGGCTCGCCACTGAGGCTGCTCCGTACTGTCCCTCCTTCCCTCCCGCACTCCCTCCCCCCCTCCCGGAGCGGCCTCCC